AACATACATGAAAGTCATAAAACTTAATAATTATTCTACAAAATATTCATATCAAATTTGGGAATCATTCCTTTAACATAAGAAAAATTTCAAAAACCAAAGATTTTTAATAAATAAAAGAAACAGTAGATACCATAAAGGCTAATTCATTGATTTAAATAAAAAATTTAAATCAATGAATTAACACACAAATGCTTTTTGTGTGTGTTTGTTATTTAGCATTGTTAATAAATTCATAAAATAAATTAATTACAGTCATCATCATTTTTTATTTGTTGTTTTTTAACTCCATTATTAGTCGATTTTTATCTTAGACAAACAAAACATTCATAGTGATTTTTGTACACTGCTGGCCAAGTAAAATGCAACACCTGCAATATCTAGAGGTCTACATGGTGTTGCATTTTACTTGGCCAGCAGTATACATGAAGCGTTTTGGATTGCAGAGAACCAGTATCTTTTATTCCATTTAACAGTTTTTAAAATCCATGTTTCATTCATAGTTACAATTTGCTTTGAAAAGTCACTAGACTCTTCAATAAAGATGCAAAAGGAGTATGGAGTAGTTTTTCTAAGTATTTCTGGAAAATATTTCAGAGTTTAAGGATCTATTTTGTAGGAATTTTTGCCATGTTCAATTCTAATGAAATAATTATTAAATGACTTTCTAATTAATGAATGCTTTGATTCAAATATTTTTAAACAGATATTGCATCAATAACAAAAATTGCATTTCATTTGATGACTTTTACCATATTGATGATTTATTCAAATTATTATACTTTTGGAATTTATAAATGTTTTATTTAAAATATATTTTTTTAACTTCTTTAGATGAAATTTTTTGTCGCATTCCAAAGAAGAATAGTTAAGTTAGAAAATAGATTGATTTGAGTTTTGTCGGGTTGATTCTTATTGATTAACGTTGAATAAATTGTTGTTTGATTTTTACTAAATTTTGTATATAGTTATTACTAGAAATTTTATTAAATATTGGATTGTTTTTGACTATCTTTGTCAGTATTTAATTCGATGCACGCTTAAAGTCCAGGCCTGGCCCATTAATGCAAATCTGCATAAAGTACCCGTTAGGTAACGGCTATTTCCGGCACACAGTCATGTCGATAATCATTGGAAAAGGCAAAAAATAATATAGTACTTTACATTGTGACAAGAAAAAAGAAAAAGAGAAAGTTCACCAATAACACTTTCAAACTCCCTTGAGTTCTTCAGGTGTTAAACAGAATTTCTGATGGAATATAAGACATTTGGATTACGAAAATTTGAAAAATCATTCGAATCTGACACTCGAGAGATGCCGCGCATGCATATTCATATGGCTAGCAGATGTTGACATTTAAAGATTGGTGTCAATGAGTGCCTGCTAAGCTAACAACAAAACCAACTCCTCTTTATAATTGCTCTTAGCTCATCCTCACTTCACCCTGCACAGAATACCTAAGGCAGCGTCCAGTGATCGCGGGCAGAAAGAATCTTTGTACACACTTCCAACTTGCGAGCAACTTCTGTCCAGGGTGGAAGCATGTTGTTTACAAGATGATGGCAAGAAGACCTACTATGGAAAATATGACAAGCATTAAAACAGTAAATTTGAAAAGTAAATGTTATCACTAACTAGATACACAACAAATATAAAAAATCTTTATAGAATAATGAGTTAAAAATAAAACATTTTTTTAAAACATTATATTTATACAAAATCAGAAATTATTAAATTACATAAAAGATTATTAATTAAAGTATATACAACATATATACATAATTTATCATTCTGTTTTTATTTATCTACAAAATCAGCCATTTTCTTGTTTCATGCCGCTTCCATCAAGCAGTGGAAGCGGCAATCAAATTTGTTTGGTAGCTGCTTCTTGCACACACGTGTAGAAGCATCATCTGGTGGTCGCTGCACACTAAACGCAGTTACTTCGGATGCACACATTTATTTGAATCAGTTTGTCCAGTCTGCTTGGAAGCGCGTTCACACCCACAGTAGCTGGACACTGCTATGTAGGATTTAGCCTAAGATGGTTGGAGGCCATTCACATATATAAATCTAGCCTTATTGCCACTTGTATTAATTATAAAGAGGAGTTGGTTTTGTTGGTAGCCTGGCAGGCACTCATTGACACCGATCTTTAAATGTCAACATCTGCAAGCCATACAAATACACATGTGCAGCACATGAAACATCTCTCAAGCATTGGATTCGAACAATTTTTCAAATTTTCATAATGCAAATGTTTTATGTTCCATCAGAAATTCCATTTAACACCTGAAGAAGAACTCGGGGAGTTCGAAAACATTAGTGGTAAACTTTCTCTTTTGTTTTTTTCACACACTAGTCATCAGTTAATTAACATTTTTGATTAATGAGGTACGTTAATTAACTTTTTAAAATTATCTTATTTTTAAAAGTTAATTGTCTGTTTTTATGAAGCTGTACAAAAAGATAATTTTGTACAGCTTCATAGAAACAGACAATTAACTTTTAATAAGCAAAGAAAGACTCTAATTTATGACTTGTAACCATAGGATTTTTTGATTTAAAAAACTAACAATTATCATACAAGCAATTTTATTCAAAAAATAATCACTTAATTAATGCCATTTGCTTTCAATAATTTTTCTTTGCCTGATAATATGTATGAGTCAATTAATTCATTATTTTACCTTGAAAATGACTCATTAACAATGTAGAACAAAATTTAATTCAATAAGAATAAATATAAAAAAAACAATGAATTTTAAAGTTATTAATTATACATACTAAGTAATTTATGTGAACATTTCTGTAGTCTCTTAAAAACAGTAACTGTATTTATTTGAATTTAAACATTTTTTTCTATTATCTAAAATAGAAAATAACAAAAATATATATAAGGAATCAGTTTTTGAAAGCATAACAAAGATAAGTTCAACATAATACTGAATCTGTATAATTAACCTTATAACCTAAATTTAATTTTAAAATTTAACTTCTACAAACAGTCACAAACAAAACCTTTTTTAACCAGTAATTGAACTTAAACTAAACTTCCAAACATTTTTTGCCTTTAACTTCTACAGTTATTCATACTTTTTTCATATATGTTGTTATAAGATACAAAATGGTTGATGTTAAAGAAATGAAATAACTTTTAGAATTACTTGGAAAATATCATATCATACAAAGAAAAAACAAAAAAGGTCAATTCTAAATAGTCTGACTATTCAAATCCTTTTTTTTTTCTTGTAAAATAAAACGTACTATAATGTACAGTACTTTTCAAATAAGGCAATATAATGAAGCTATATTGCCATGTTAATTTTTCAATCCTTTTTAAAGTATCATTTGCATTTAAATTAAAAAATAATCATAAATATATGAGTGTGGCATTACACATAATAATAATAATATTAATGAGAAAACTCTGTCAACAATGTTAACACAAAATTTTTAATGACTTAAATTGATTTGCCTGAGAAGTTTTGTACATTGCTAAGAGTAATTACATATTTATGTTAACTCATTAAAAATTTTGTGTTAATGTCAATGATTTTGTTTCTCATTAATCAAAAACAATAATATTTTTTATATATTTATAAATTTATTTATATCTAAATCTGTAAACTTATAGATTTTTAGGGGTTTTTTTACCTTGAGATCACGATGTGCAATATTCATACGATGAAGATGTGCCACAGCTTTGCAAATGTCATGCATTATTTCAGCTGCTTCTAAATAGAAATAGGCAAATAAATAAATATAAATTAATATAAATTTTAAAAACTTAATTATAAAAAATAATGATGTTTGCCATAGTTGATGAATGCTATTTTGAAAAATATCGTCTATTGCCCACATTTTCACTATATTCAATAGATCCTAAAATATTCTATAACATTCTAACTATAAATAAAAGTTTTTAGATTAAACTAGTTATTTCATAATTTTTACATGTAAGATTTGGTAATTGAATTGTAGAACTATATGAATTGAAAATAATTATGGTTAGAATTAAGAAGCATTATTCAAAATACATTTAGAAATTATATACTTTTATATTTAGTCGTAAAACTGTTAAAAATATTTTTAAAATTTATTCAAACTTACCATTACAAATTTGTTTATGAGACTGAATATGTATCTTAAATTATATCCATTTTATTGTAAATTTGATTTTAGATAATAAGAATTAAACAGTAGGACATTTTTGCCCAATTTTATAAAAATTTATTGTTTCTTCTTTTCTCTAAGTTACACTACTATGATAATCATTTGCAGAATACAAAAATCTACATCTGAATAAAAATTATATATAAAAATGTGGTGTAGAGCAGAATTAGATAAGTTTGTTTTCACAAATATATTAAATCTTAATAGGTTTCTTTTTCTGTGTAAACTGGTTCTTAAATATTATTTTGAATTCCTTGTATACTGAATAATGATATACAGGAATAAATTAAACAAGTAAGTTCTATTTATAAGTATTAAATACGCAAGAATTCAATACAACAAGCCATTTTTTTCTCTCTCTTCTTTATTAGATAAAATATTTGATACAACTTCTAATATTTTCAAAAACAAAATATTTTGATCACAAATGCAAAAAATTGAAATTTTCCATGTTCAATTAGATTGCTCATAAATTCTTGTCTCCATTTGCTTTAAAAATTAAAAATCCAAAGAAACTAAGTTGTCTTCCTTTTAGTTATGTCCAATCACCAGGAACAAAAAGTCTTTCTTTGCAGTGACAATCTTTTATTGGAAGCTATGCCTCTGCAAAATTATGTAAAACAGTTAAAACATTCACTACTGATAAGTCAATTAAAAAATTTTCCATTTCCTTTGTTTCATTCATATTGTATCTTCATTTGAAGAACAACAGGTGCCATCATTCTCCTCCTATACAAATTTGTAACAATAAACTTCTTCCCAAAATTATCATCTCTCCTTTACATCAGTGATTACAATTTTATTAATTAAAATATATTTTATTTTATTCACTTTTAGTTATTTTCTGCTTATTTATTGTCTTAATTAATTGTTGTTTTCTTATCATTAAATGAAGAAATAATTGATAACTTAATATTTGCTTTTCTCATTTTGTATAATATTTTATTTGTTTCATTTCATTCCATTTAGAATCATTAGTTGATAGGTAAAATATATATATTGTAGAACTTTTATATTAGTCCATTTGAGAAGCATGAAAAGAGTGACTGAGCCAGAATGAGGTACAAATTTTTCTATAAAAAATGGAAAAGCTTGTTCCTATTTAGAAGATATTGACATATAAGAGGTTTTTAAGAACAAGGAAGACTCATAAATTAAGATTATACTGTATAATTTATAAAAAAATAATTTAATCTGCCAAAATACTTGACAATAAATTAAAATGTAATAATAATTCAAATATATATTTTTGAATTATTATTATTATTTACAATATTTAATGCTAAATTACAAACAATTTTAACAACTGATATGCATCAAAAATTGTAAATTTTAATAATCAATTTATTTTTGAATTTTGAAATAGATTCTGTTTGATGATACTGCATATCAATTTTTCAAGAGAAATTTAACCCAAAGTCCAAACAATGTTATGTTTGAACTGTGTGCACATTAAAAAAATGTACCCACCATCTGTTAAGCACCAAACTTAGCTCTTGCTCTCTCTGTGAAAGCATTTCTGTGTTACACTTCTGTTTTCAGTGCTTTTTACACTTTATTGTATTACCATTACTATATCTGTTAACCATTGCATCCAAGAAGAGTGTGGAAGCAACAAAGAGGAAGGTTTTACAGTAGTATCAATGCCTGAGGTTAAAAAGGAATTTTAACCTCTAGTGCCAAATTAATTACGTAATTTATTTAGAATTTAGCATTAAAATAGCCCGATTAATTTATGGCATTCGGTTGGTGTCTTACTAAAAAGGAATTATTGCAAAGCATAAAAGTGGTACACATGTAGCAGATCCTGGTAGCCATGTTTAAGATACTGAAGTTGGTGTGCACCATCCTTAATAACAAGGAAGCAATAAAAGCAGCAAATGTGGCTAAAGGTGTGATAATGTTCATCTCCATGGAATTGCATGTTATTGAGGAGATAGAAAAACTCCTAGTATGGATAAATGAGAAGAAATTGGCTGGTGATATCATCTCTAAGAGGATTATCTGTGAGAAAGCCAAGCAAGCTGCTTAGTGACCTTAAGAAATCACTACTCCTTACTAAAATACAGTGCAATCATAAAGTCCCTCTGCAGAAGGTGGGAAAACGTGAGAAGCTTCTGGGAATGAAGTAATGATATCATAGGCAGACCACACATTGAAAGACTTAAAGTAAGTTATGGCACCACCACTCAGCCAAGCCAAACAGGCGTGGCCCACTCAGTGGGATTTTATGATTGCACTGTACAATAAATGCAATTTCCATTTTATTATACAGTATTTATGTATAATAAAGTTTTTTTACTTATGCTTTATGCTAAAATTTCAAAAATAACACATTTACAGTATTTATGTATTTTATTTATTATTTTCATGCTTTAATTTATTACAGGTAGCCCTCAGTTTACGCCGGTTCAATTTATACCGATTCACAATAATGCCACTGTGCAATTTGCCGTTTTGAGGTGTAATTCCCCGATTTTCCCTATGCTAGACTGATTTTCATTTCAGTGTTGATGTATTTACTGAGCCGCGACATTGTACATTCGTTAAAACAAAGATTTTTATTAAATATATTTATTTTTTCTGTTTAATATTATTGGGTATGTATACATTTGCATTAAATTAATATTAAAATACCAAATGTTTAGGTACCCACGAGTCAAGATATTAAACTTAATAGTCCAATAAATGGCGTCTGAATCCATAGAGCCAATGAATGTATCCCGTATCAGTTCATTCAGGAAAACACCTTACGACACAATAGCACTTCCAGCAATCACAAATTATCGTTAGTGAGACAAATCTACTTCGCGTTGGCCAGACGATATTTATCTCTCCTTAGCCACCTTGAATTTTCCCGCTCAAACTGACCTTATATATGCGCTACAATGACCGGTGGTCGACCAATCAATGCCTTCGCTCATCTGTAGCTCTACGTTGGATTAACGTATCCTTTCAAATAAGGAAAGTTTGACAGATGAAGTTTGTGAGTTATACAATGTTGGGAGCAAATGTACAAATGAGCATCATATTCGACCATATTCCAAAATTCTTAATGAAAGAAATCAAAAATGTAAACAATTAAAGATGGATACCTTTTTCCGAAAAATGTAAGAAATTCAAAACTAAAATTTTTAAATAAAAACATTTTACTTTATTTTATGATAAAATACATTTTAAAAATTAAATTTATTTGTACTTTGTATTATATTGTATTAATAAACAAAATTATTTGCGTATTTTTCACTTATGTGGAACCTAACCCTATACCTCACTGTAAATACGGGTTCGTTTTACGCCGATTCGATTTGCGCCGGCTTTCGTAGGAACGGAACTGCGGTGTAAACCGAGGGCTACCTGTATTTAGGGCATTTAATTGTGTTATTTTTACCTTAAATTATGTGTATGGCTATTTAAGTTTATCAAAATAAGTATTGTTTAGGGTCTGGAAACAATTAATTCACTTTCCATTATTTCTAATGGGGAAAACTGATTTCAAACTTCAAACAATTCAGAGTTCAAATGGCCTTCTGAACAAATTAAATTTGAAGTACAAGATGCCACTATATTATATTTGTCAACATTATACTCATTTCAACTGAACATTTTTTTCTTGTTAAAATTTATTTTTCATTTGATTATTACAATACAACAA